GTTGTTGGACAAGGAGAACCGATCCAGAGGGTCCTCTGTGCTGTGAATATGTACACCAACAGACTGCCACATCTTTGTCCCGCAGCATGGCCAGAGGGTTCGAATCTATCTTTTGGTTGGCAGCAGTGTGCTTAACCACTGCATCTCCAGGGCATCTCTGAGGGACTACTTTTTTGTGTATAAAAATATAAACCGTCCCACAACATTTCATTTTCTACATGACAACTCAGTGACAGCGATTACATTCTTCAAGTTGTACAAACATCCTCACACTCATTTTTCAGAATATCCTCCACTATTTACATAAGCTTATTGTCCTTAAGCTTCCTATGTAACCTTCGAAATTATGTTGCCAATTTAATATCACAGAGATAGTTTGTTGTTGTTTTCAAGAGCACAATGTTCAGGGCAAATATGCCTTCCTAATTAAGCTAAACTATTATTTGGTTTAAGGAGCCTTGACGATGCTGTAGGTTAGGCATTGGTCTGCTAACTACTAGGTCCATGGTTCAAACCCACCAGCCACTCTATGAGAGAAAGATGAGACTTTCTGTTGTCATAAAGATTCAAAGTCTTGGAAAATGTATATAGGGTTGCTATGAGTCAAAATTGACTTGTTGAAAGAGTTTTTTTTTCACTGAATTTTTTATTTATAGAAGACTTCTGGGATATTTTTTGATATAAAGTTTAGAAATTATTTTCAGGCAATAGTTTTGGGGGTTTGTCCCACTACCCTAGATCCAAAAGGTTTAGATTCCATAAGGATTTGAAATTCCGTTTCATATTTCTCCCTTCTTGATTCTTTTATAGAATCTTTGATCAAAGTTTTCATTTATGGCAGCGGGGCACCAAGTTCTGGTCCCTGACAAAAAAGGTAGTATTCATGGAGGCGAACAGACAGACAATCGGTCTCCTTTTCCAATTCCCGATTCGTCTTTTTCCTCTGCTGCTCCAGGTAAATGGAGACCCATTGTTTTACCTAGGAGGGCCACTTGCTAGCTTTGTGGGCCCTTACCTATCCTTGCCTTTGATTGTAGAGACACAGTAAGAGTTGAAGCTGCATGTTAATGCTTTGATTTTTCCTAAAAATTCTCAAAAATCAAGCCAATATCTATGAAATAAGAAGGGGGTTAGAATGAAGTATAGTTTATTATGATCATGCCTCTGTGGACTATGTGCTCTAGTCTCAGTTTAAAACGCTCCTATTTTATCTTGACCTCATCTCTGGTCTTCCTATTAAAGATACCATTTAGTGTGAATCATTTACTTTTCAGAAAAAAACCCAAACTCTTGGGACTTTGAATATTTCTTTTCTATTAATCTCAAAGAAGTTTTAACTATTTGAAGTTCTTTGTTTCCATGCAGCCTAATTACTAACCCATGGAGTCTGTCCAATTCAGCTATTGACTTTGGATGTAAGAAAACAAAACAAAAGCCAACAG